GGGGACGGTTTATCCTATGCTGTTGGAACGTCAACAGGGCATACTTTGCTGTACGACATTCGAGCCGCAAAACCCTTTGCGCTGAAAGATCAAGGTTATGGTCTACCTGTGAAGAACGTAACGTGGATCGAAGGTGGCAGTCGGATGGCTGGAGATGGCATGGTACTCAGTGCTGATAAAAAGGTCATCAAAATCTGGGATCGTCTTACGGTGTGTGGCCACCTATTCAACTCACGACTATTGAAAATTAAATTTTATCTGTAGCCTGAAACGAATTTTGTTTCAGTTACGCCAGCAAGCGATTTGAACGATGTTCATCATATTTCTGGAAGTGGATTGCTATTGACAGCAAACGAAGGAATTCAAATGGCTACCTATTATATCCCTCAACTTGGCCCGGCACCACGTTGGGCAAGCTTCCTCGAAAATATTACTGAGGAAATGGAGGACCAAACGACCCGTTCTGTTTACGAAGATTACAAATTCGTGGAGAGAAACGAACTCAAAACGTCAGTTCACCTTTGCTTTTTATTTGCCTTTCACGGAGCTGACTTGCATTTCAGGCTGGGACTGGATCATCTTATTGGTACCCCAGCGCTCAAACCATACATGCATGGATACTTCATTTCTCTCAAACTCTACGACACTGCGCGTGTCATTGCCAATCCATTCGCATACGAAGAGCATCGTGAGAAGATGGTCCGCGACAAGATGGACAAATTGGCGGAAACCCGAATTCGCGCCAAGAAGGATGTCGGCGTTAAGGTCAACAAGGCTCTCGCCGAGAAGATCCTCAGAGATGAAGAGAAGGCCCAGCAGAGGGCGGACAGGAAGACCAAGCGCAAGCAACCGGCCGAAACGAACGATGTGGACATGGAAGCAGAAGTCGAGGAAGATGAGGAGTCGAAGCCAGGAATTCTTTCGGATCCTCGATTCTCCAAAGTCTTCGAGAATCCCGAATTTGCGATCGACGAGAATACGCGAGAATATGCACTTCTCAACCCATCTTCTGTTGGGCAAGGAAGCCGAGGGAAAACTATGGTGGAAGAAGAAGACGAAGAAAGCGACAAAGCGTCTTCCCTTGGTTTGGAAGGTAGCGAGAGTGAAAGCGAGGAGGACAAAGAAGACGGTCACTCGAGTGATAGTAGCGACGAGGGCGGTTCGTCACACTGGTTTACTTTTCCGTGCACATGTTCTGACCTCATTTTTCTTTCGATCTAGAACTCACCAAGTTCGATCTGCGATCTCGACCAGGTCAGAGGAACGTGCGTGCTGAAGAAGCCTATCAACGCGATCGTGCACGCAACAGGGCGGCCGGTCTCAAGATGGTCCCCATGCGCCCGCAAACAGGGCCTAACTCCCAACGACTTGGGGACAAAAATGCAACATTCGGGCAGCGCAGGATGCCTGCTTCTAGTTCGACTTCTTCTGCGAAGAGACCCTCGGTAAAGAAGGCGCATGTGGACGACGATGCTCCCATGGAGATAAGCTGGGTACCGTCATCGTCGACAGGATCTGGTGGCAAGGATAGTGGTGAAGGTAAAGGGAAGATGAGAGGGAAGGAGAAGAGGAAAGGGGTCGAGGTTTTCGGAGCTGGGTTGGAGAGGGGAGTTGAAGAGAGATCAGACGCCAATGAGTCAGAGAGACAAGGAAGGACTCAAAGAAGAAAAGGGGTGAGAAGTGGCAGTAAGAACGCGTTTCGGCGCATCTAGTGACTGTATTTCTCGACTGTTCTCCACACTATTTGGAACGATTTTGCTTCATCTTTGTTTCGCTGCTGTCAAGCTTGCTCCCCTCGCAAAGCACGTTCATCGCATCTGCCCTTGCATCAAATCTCGCTACTGAATATATGCTCCTCGCGTTTAAGACTGGCTGCCATCGCATGTGTAGCTAGCTCTTCGTAGTTGCGTGGTTGCAATCTGATCTCCATCGCGCGCAATGATATATTGGTGATCAGTCATGGCTACGTTGTAAGTATACCAATCATCACTGACACGGCCCACGCCTTCTCGCGTTGAGGTCAAGGCTTCAAGGCAACTTTGCAAGCGGTCTTGCTCTTCATCTTCTCCAACGCCTTGTCGAAATCTTTGATCGAAAATACATCTGTTACCTGTTGAATTCAGATCATTGAATTGACATTTCTCTTACTCAAGCACAATGCGCTTATCGCTCACCATGCCCTTCACTCGGATCTTGCCACTGTCGAGATAGGCGACGGCGCGAGGGAAGCAGTGCGTCTGTGCGAATGAACCGATGATCTGATGGATGTTCATTAGAAAGCTATTGACGATGGCAGACTCAAGAATACCTTAATCTCATCCTGGAATATCTTGGTAGGTGACCAGTGAACGAGATCCTTGTTTCCGTAGACGCCATAGATCATTAAGCTGCCGCCTCTTCGGACAAAGTTGATGGCATCATTAGCGACCTTCTCCGAACCAGTAGCTTCAATCTGTTAAGAAGAGAAGATGATTTAATTATTAGAAGTTATGGCAATGAGGAAGGTGAGAGGGTGTGAATTCTTACGACCACATCAAAACCATGCTTGTGATCTTCTTTCAATTTTGCCCATTGCGGAGCTGGATCGTCCCGGTCCAGTTCGATATATTCATCGCCTGCGTCTAGTTGTTTGGCGATTTGGGTTTTGATTCCTTTGTTAGCGGCGATGACAACTTTGGAAGCTCCATTCAACTTCAACAGTTGAGCCAAAATCAAGCCTGATTTCCAAATGGGCAAAAATCAATTTACTGATCGTCTTCTTCGAGAAGAGAAGACAAAAAATGTAAGCTGACCAGTAGGACCTGCCCCGAGAACTAAGGCCTCAACCCCGACCGCAGGATTCAGCTTGTCCATTCCATGGATTGCGCATGATGCAGGTTCGACAAGCGTTGCTTCTTCATCGGTAAGATTGTTAATCTTATAAACCTTCTTACTCTGTCTGGAAATCCCGAGAAGAGAGTTGGGATTCCCCTCAGCACTCGAGGTTACTTGCGGTTTTGAGCTAAAGTGCTCTCACATGGCGACATATCCCGCAAATCCGCCTGCCATTGTAACACCGAGGCTCTCGAAATTCTCGCAGAGCACATGCTGAGCACGGCGACAATAGAAGCATGAGTCGCACTGCCAGGGAGGGAGTTGAGTGGTTAGTTGGACACATGATTGAGTGGTGGCGGAGACGAAGCAATAGCACTGAACGTTAACTATACGCACACTTATCGCATTATCTGCTACACAACGGTCACCGACTGAGAGTCCTACCACTGCACTGCCGAGCTGCGAAATAACACCGACAATCTCGTGTCCTGGAATGAGCTTTTCCAAGGTTAGTGTTTTCCATTGATATTACCATATTATAAGCGGTGGTGGTGGCGTGAACGCATCAGATTTCGTTGCTTACAGGAAATTTTCCTATGAATTCTCCCTGAGCACGAAGATGAAGCGATCAGAAAGCGCTGGACTCCGAGGTTGTGGGGGACTAACTTCTGCCAAGTGCTGGTCAGTACCGCAAATACCACAGCATGTTACTGGGTCAAAGAAGCGTTGATACGCATAAGCTTGCGATCGTGCAGAATTACGCAGCACACGCACCTTTGATGAGCACTTGGTCATCATTTATATGTGGGATGGGAATATTGACGATCTCTAGCTTCCGTGGCTTGTGCACCAGAGATAGGGGTAGGTAAACCTATTCAACTTTGCGGTATGACTTTCGCTCACGGCATGGTAACAAACGGCATCCATGGTCGTGGTCATTCTGTGCCAATCGAGCCAACGGTAGTTTGAGGTAAATGTCGGGAATAGAGGGAGACCACGGCCTCCAGCGTTGACTTGCGTGGTACTTTAGCCATGCCTTGTGCATATCAAACGCATATCGGACAATATCAGCGGAGATCCACGGCCCGATGGGTAATTGTGGCAACATGCATGACCTACCGAGGCCCGCCGACTTGGCACCAAACCCGATTATCATAGCCCAATTCCAAGGGGGTGGTGGGATTTGAATCTTGCACCAAAGGGTTGGTTGGTCAGTTCAAGATTCTGGCCACTAATTTTTTTTTGGGCCTACCATACAACTATTATACTTTTGACAATATTTCACATGGAAATGCTATTGGGATGCTACTGGATTCATTTGAGAGATTTGTGTTCAAGCTACTGTGCCAGCTACTACGCAGTCCATCTTATTTTCCTTGACTTCTGCTGTTGCAATTGCAATGGGGAATCTTCCAACAGGACAAATTGGGAAAAGGAGAAATGTTGTTCAAATACACGGCATGAGCAGTGAGTGCGGAACTACAGGCAGATTACAATGCCAAAGATGTCATGCAGTGCAAATGAGATGGGTGCAAACAAGATGGATAAGACATTTCAACTGTTCTATTGACAATCTATTGACTACATATTGCTAATATTATCTAGTGGCATCTAGGTTGCATTAGACTTAAGTTAGTGCCTATAATTTTGGGTGTGTGGAACATGCAAAAATGTCAGGAGGATGGAAACAGCAAGGAGGCAAGAAAATGACATCAGTGCAGATCACCCAATTTGACAATTATATATCATGGGCTTGCTTACGTTGGCCAGTTGGTTCAAGATATTCACCACTAAAAAAGAAATCAGGCCCAGGTCGTGTATTTTAATCTTGCCACCCCCTTGCCCAGTTCCATGATTTGGCTCTGCAAGTTGAGGACCAGGCAAAAGCCGTTGTCAAAAACAAACATGACAACTCCCAAGTCTCCTTCCTCATGTTCATAGGTCCTTACTGGACATTTGAGTTGTTTGGACCTATGAACATGAGAAAGGGGACTTCGCAGTTGTCTGGGGACATGTTTGTTTTTGACGATGGCTTTTGCCTGGTCCTCAGCTTACAGAGCCAATTCATGGAATTGGGACATGTGCTTAAATGTCACATTCGTGTCGTTCCATATCTGAATCTCCAATTTGGCATAGAAAGAATGAAACTGCGAGTGTAGTAAGATTTCAATAGGAATGCACAAAAATTCCTCCTAGCCGATTTGAACGACTGACCTCGTCATAGCCTGCGCAATGCGAATACTAGTGACGCGCTCTACCGCTGAGCTAAGAAGGACATATAATTCAACAACAGAGGTAACTCCATGTTCTCAAACCGTATATTTCCAGCAAGATAAGATAAGATCGAAATCTCACGTGCCTGTGATGCTTCAGATTTGGAAATGAAATGCATCGGCCATTCGGAGGAGCAGAAAAAAAGTTGCAAGTGGTTCAGCAACTATCCATCAGAATAATGGCGGACGAGCGACTGAGTAGGGTGCTTTCCAGGCTCCAAAACCTTCCGTCGATCTCACTTCCGACCGATTATCCAAGGCCTACTGGAGCTCATAAACTCATCGAATCAGCACATATTGCTCAACTATCGGAACAGACATCTCTCAGTTTACTCAAATTAGTGCTTTACACCGAGAACGAAGAATCAGACGATGACGAAGATCAGGTTCATGTGAAACGGCCATCTGCCTTTCATCTGCTGTTAGCCGCGTTCACCGTCTTATTGCATCGCTACACAGGAGACACGGACATTGTTATTGGATCTTCGTCGGCATTGGCACGCGAGCCTCTCCTTCTCAGGCTCTCGGTTGATCCAACAGATCCGTTCTGGGCCATCGTCCGCCGCGTTCAGCAAGTTGAAAAGGAAGCAGAGGAAGATGCTCTTCCATACGACCTTATAACCCGAGAGCTCAATAAAGGAAAAGACGAAGGACATGAAGGACCTTTGTTCCGTGTACGCTTCTTTGACGAGACAGACGAGCCAACGGACAACTTCATCAGGTCTACCAGTTTAACATCGGATATTACTTTCTTTGTTACGAGGCCTCCAGCCACAACTCGCGCTTCTCTTGCTCCACGAATATCGCTTCGGATTCTCTACAACTCCCTTCTTTTCACCTCTGCACGCATCTCATCCATCATAGACCAACTATCAGTTCTCTTGCGCAAAGTTGCCTCGAATCCCCTTGTTCCCGTTGGTTCCGTACCTTTGCTAACCCCCGCGCAGAAGGCCAAACTTCCAGATCCTACCGCCGATCTCAATTGGTGCGGTTGGAAGGGTGCTATCACCGACGTTTTCTCTCGACATGCTCGCGCACATCCTGAACGGCCATGTGTTGTTCAAAGCCTGCCGTCGAATAGCCTCACTGCTCAACGAGAGAAGGTGATCCTTTCCTATGGCGCAATTCTCAACGCTTCCAATATTCTCGCACACCATCTCATCAAGAATGGTATTCAAAGAGAGGAAGTCGTCATGGTGTACGCGCATCGAAGTGTAGATCTCGTCGTTGCTGTAATGGCCGTGCTCAAGGCTGGCGCGACCTTCTCTGTTATCGGTATGTACGACTTCGCATCTCGTGGGGTAGCCAGCTGAATAACTTGGATCTCATAGACCCTGCTTATCCTGCTTCCCGCCAAATTATCTATCTTCGAGTGGCCCAACCTCGTGGTTTGGTTGTTTTGAAAGGAGCTGGCACTATTAGCCCTTCTGTCCGCACATTCCTTGCTGATGAATTGAAGATCAGAGTAGAAGTTCCTGCTCTGGAGGTGTTCCCCGATGGGAATATTTCCGGCGGCATTGACGGCGTCGGAGAAGATATTCTCAAAGCGCATGCTCACCTTGGGGGAACCGACCCGAATGTGGCGTTGGGTCCTGACAGTGTTGGTACGCTCTCGTTCACCAGCGGTAGCACGGGGATTCCCAAAGGCGTTCGCGGACGGCACTTCAGTCTTACGCACTTTTTCCCGTGGATGGGCGAGCGGTTCGGTTTGAATGAGAATTCCAAATTCACGATGCTGAGCGGAATTGCTCACGACCCGATTCAGCGTGACAGTTAGTGATGTATCTCTCCTTGCTTGTTTTGGCTCTAATTTCCCGTTCAAGTGTTCACTCCCCTCTTTTTGGGCGCACAATTGCATGTACCAACTGCGGATGACATCGGTACTCCTGGACGATTGGCGGAATGGATGGCCGAGAGTGAAGTAACGGTTACCCATCTCACTCCTGCCATGGGTCAACTCCTCTCTGCGCAAGCTACGCGCCAGATACCGACTCTCACAAACGCTTTCTTCGTCGGAGATGTGCTCACTAAGCGCGACTGCCTCCGTCTCCAATCACTTGCTGCAAACGTTTGCATAATCAACATGTATGGAACGACGGAGACCCAGCGGGCTGTATCATACTTTGCAATCCCCCCCGTATCAGAGGATTCGACTTTCCTTGCGACGCAGAAGGACATCATGCCAGCTGGGGAAGGCATGATTGATGTGCAGCTTCTTGTCGTGAACAGGAACGACCGCAATGTGCCATGCGCTGTTGGAGAGGTGGGCGAAATCTACGTCCGCTCAGGCGGTCTTGCCGAGGGATATCTCGATCAGGACGCCACCGCAGAAAAGTTCGTGACGAATTGGTTTTCAGCTAATTCAACTTCGAGGCAAGACACCATTCTTCACCCGACAGAAGGATTAGCAGGGCCAGAGGCACGTTATTGGCAGGGTATTCGCGATCGCATGTACCGGTCTGGTGACCTGGGACGATACCAACCAGATGGCAAAGTGGAATGTACAGGACGAGCGGACGATCAAGTCAAGATTCGTGGTTTCAGAATCGAGCTTGGAGAGATCGATACTCATCTGAGCCAACATCCCCTTGTGAGGGAGAATGTGACGCTCGTGCGAAGAGATAAGGACGAGGAGAAGATTCTGGTTAGCTACTTCGTGCCCTTGGATGGTCCGAACTTGCATGAGTTCGCCAGCGAAATTGAAGAAGACGAAGATGAGAAGGGCTTGGTGAAGGGTATCAAGAAATACAGGCGTCTCATCAAGGATATCAGGGAACACCTCAAGAAGAAGCTCCCGAGCTATAGTGTGCCGACATGTATGATTTCCCCCCCACATCTACTCTGACATTTTTTAATGCTGTTTCATGCAGTATTCGTTCCTCTCACCCGTATGCCCTTGAATCCCAATGGCAAGATTGACAAGCCTGCTCTGCCTTTCCCCGATACTGCGCAAGCGTCCTATGCTGCCCCAGCGCCTTCCGCTGGCGCCAACTCGACTGAAGCGACCATGCAATCGATCTGGACTAGCATTTTGCCCAACGCACCACAGCCGATACCCACCGATGAAAGTTTCTTTGATCTTGGTGGTCATTCTATTCTTGCTACTCGCCTCATATTCGAAATCCGCAAGGTCTTCGTCGTTGATGCTCCCTTGGGTTTGATCTTTGAACAGCCGACTGTTTCGGGTCTGGTAAAAGCCGTGGATGCCTTGAGGAATGCCTACCTCGGCATCGCATACAAGGAGCCTGAAAGTGCTGCTGGGGGACTCCTGACTGTGCCCGGAACGGCTGAAACCAAGAAAGCCGCACATGTCGAGTATGGGCAGGACTACACTTCTTTGGTGGAGCAACTTCGGCCCTCCTACTCTCCCCTTCCCTCGGATTTCCACAATGCACCTATCACGGTGTTTCTGACTGGTGCCACCGGTTTCCTTGGTGCCTTCGTTCTGCGTGATCTGCTCGAGCGACGGGAGCGGGTGAAGAAGGTCATATGTCTAGTTCGCGGTAAAACTGTGCAACAAGGCCTTGATCGTTTAAAAGAAGGTTCTACAGATCGAGGGGTTTGGTCGGATGAGTGGGTGTCAAGTGGGAGGCTTGAGGTTGTCACCGGTGATCTGGGATTGGATTTCTTCGGCCTAGGTCAGAATGACTGGACCCGGATTGCCAACGATTCGGATGTAGTTTTGCACAACGGGGCACTCGTAAGCTTATCCAGTGTTTCTTTGATATGTCATGTTTGATGACTTCTTTTACCGCATCCGACAGGTGCATTGGGTGTTTCCCTACGAGAAATTACGATCTGCAAACGTGCTCGCTACTTTAACCGCTATCAATCTCGCGTCCACAGGCAAACCCAAATGCCTGGTATTCGTTTCTTCGACATCTGCGATCGACGTAGATCACTATGTGCAGCTCTCTGAGTCCTTGGCCCGAGGTCCCTCCAACTATCGTGGAGTTCCTGAGAACGACGATCTTGAAGCAGCAAGATCCTCTTTGAAGACTGGGTATGGCCAGACTAAGTGGGTTTCTGAAAAACTTCTGTTCGAGGCCGGCCGCCGAGGGTTGAGGGGACACATTGTGCGTCCTGGATATGTCGTTGGTGATTCCCATACTGCTGGTGAGCTGATGTTTTTGATGTGCTATGAAACGGGAGCTTATCGGACCCGGTGATTTAGTTACCAACACGGATGATTTCATTTGGCGCATGGTCAAAGGTTGTGTTCAATTGGGGCTTGTACCCGACATCAACAATACCATTAACATGGTTCCTGTCGACCATGTCGCCCTCTGCACTTCCCTGGCGGCCGTTTCTCCTTTACGCGATGCTCCCATGAGCGTTTTGCACGTCACCGCACGCCCACTGCCCACTTTCAACGGAATGCTTTCATCCCTAATTCAGTATGGGTTCCCAACGGAACCATGCGAGTATGTTGTGTGGCGTCGCCGCCTCGAACAGCATGTTATGGAAGTGCAAGATAATGCACTCTTCCCTCTGCTGCATTTTGTGCTTGACGATCTTCCGACAAGTACCAAGGCTCCTGAACTGGACGATGCCAACACTGCGGCTCTGTTAAGACAGGAGGGGGCGAATTTGACTTCAACTGTGGACGACACTTTGATGGGCTTGTATCTAGCATGGCTCGTCGGCGCTGGCTTCCTTCCCTCCCCTTCATTACCTTCGCCACAAAAGGCCCTGCCTACATTGGCCAACACAGGGGTCATCAAGGCTGCTGGTCGAACAGGGGTTTAAGATACTCTTCTCTCCAAAAATTGATCAACAAAATCAACCTAATGTATACCATTTCACCTTGCTACGATCTGACCATGTAATATTTCTATATTCTATCCAAAATTTTCACAATAGGTGATCGTGCCAATTTTCTTTTGTAAAACATCAATGTGTGTACATGATTCAACATGAAGGTCGACTATCAATAATGTCCTTTGAAGGGCATTGTACAATTACATGTTCATGTATATCAAGCTCGCGTACATAAGCGGCA